AAATTGCAGACTGACCCCTCACTCATCTGGTGCCTTCGGGAGGTAGATGTTTGAGATATATATCTCGAACTATCTACTTCTTTTGTAAGGTCTGATGGCGTAGTGGGTTAAAGCTACTATTAGCCAGCTACTGGAAGGTAGTTGTGCTTTTCTGGTTCGAGTCCCACGGTGGGTGTTGTCCAAAGATTGTATTATATATATATATTAATTATATATATAATATATATATTATATTATTATGTCGTACCTAATAGCCAGAACGCACTTCTCCCTACTATTCAAGGCCCGATTTGCCTAATAAGCCAAGTTTTCATGAATTAATGTTTTTTTCGTCTACCTAACCTACCTAACCTAACCTAACCTAGCTTTTTTTGGCTACCAACCAACCTACCTATAAATATAGGTTTGTAGGTTAGTTAGGGTTGGTTAGGTTCGGTCATATATCTACGTTAATTTTAACTCCAATACAAAAAATTGACCTCATACATAGAAAAAGGGTTGCTTTATATCATTTCATAAGAAAAAAATTTAGTAAATATTAATTCAGTAAAACTTGGCTTATTAGGCAAATTGGGCCTTGAATAGTAGGCCTGAGAAGTGAGTTCTGGCTACTAGGTACGACATATATATATATATATATATATATATATATATATATATATAGATATATATTATATATATATATATAATATTATTCTTCTATAAATATATTTATATGGTATTATAGTATAATGTAATCTGTGAATTTGGGTTCATGTTTTGAATATGGGCCATTTGTGTTTATGTATATGAAAGAAGGTAAATATATACTAAAGTGACAATCACGGACTCTTTCGGAGGTAAAGGCTGAGAGAGTTGCCACAGGTGACTTTCCAGGAGTGTTGTCATTCTACCAGAACAGCGTAAGTTTTTCACCTGTTGGCCAATGTAGTTATGATTTAGTAAACCTTCATATTTGCTTTCTCTCTTCCATTTTTTCTGCTGATAGAGCGATTGGGTTGTCGAATACCATTCCTTTGCATAACATGCTATACAGGGAATTCATAATACCACCACTGAGTATAGTGTGCTGAGCTGTGAATAGCTGTGGACTCAGTTGGCGGTCTAACTCCACCATCCTTCTTCTTAAGGGCACAAAGGGATGCTCCGAAGAAGAAGGGTTTAATTAAGTCTCAGATCAACCCATAGAGGCAGTTGTTAACAAACTTCGTGACCTCTGACAGTAGTGTTTCGGCAACGTCGCCGAGAACTGGGTTTGTCATCTCCTTGAGATGCTGAGGTCTTACTCCAGTGTATCTCTCTGCTGAGCCTGACGGAAATGATATCGCATTTTATATATACTCGTGCTATTAAATACGATCACTAAAATTGGGATATAAATAATATCAGAGGTGTTAATGCTCATAATATCTTAAACATACTATATTAAATCCAGGAATCAGGCACTCATACGACTCAGCATAGAGATGCAACAGATACAGATACAGTAAAATACTGTATATGATAAACTAATATACATTATAAATATCTTTTAATATTCCAGAAAATTGTAAATTCTCCAGTTCAAAAGAACAGAAAAATCATAGAAATTTTGTCCATAAACTGGAGAAAAGTCACGTAATAATGTTAAAATGTTTCTTCACAGAGCAATATCATAAACCTTCATCAAAACCTTTTACCGAGTTCCTCGAGTGTGTCAGTGTGGGAGGTGACAGCGGACGGCCAGGGCGCTAACATGACGCTGACGCAGCTCCCCCACGTGGTCGACCAGGCTCGGCGGGTAGGTCACTCTCCTCACATTACTGTTGCTGCAGATTGGTCACTCTTACTTTGCTGTTGATGCGGGTAGGTATCTTATTTAACTACTGACTTGGGGAAGGCACATTCTCATAATTGCTGATCGTGTAGATTACAGTAAAGTTACTGTCGATGCAAGTTGGTCACTTTCTCATTATGCAGGCAGGTCACTCACATTTCTGCTGAAGTGGGTAGATGTTACACGTTTCCGTGGTGTCACTCACCGACACAGGAGTCTAGCAGCTCTCTCAAGGACTAACTCAGACCCACAATCATCAAAGGGTGGCAAAGCAAAATAAGGAATTCACATACGACTTCGGCCCTTGAGTATTCCTCAGGGCGTCGTCTATGACACTTCGACTGGGGCACAGACCTCTCTTGCACAGTGCCCACTGCATAATATTTACAACTCTATTCACACGGCACCCGGTGCAGATGTCAAATGCCTGGGGAAGATTGGATACCCTGTACTCTCTTTCAAACGTATCCAGACTCTCAGTCTCTCTCATACGTCTGTAGCTTCACCCCGGGATCCATAGTACCCTCCTGGCTGTTTTCTAGTGAAGACTGTTACGACCATGAAGTTTGAGTGCTGCTCGTGGTCGCGTCTGGTTAATCCAAAATCGAAGTAGCCTAGCGACATCTATATCTGGAGTTTATAAAGAAAACAACTGTTAAAAATGAGAACCCCAGTTTACTATATGGTAGCACATTAAAATAAAGATAAAAGGTACACGGATAATCACTTATTAATTACTGTAGGGCTAATAACCACTTACACATTGTAAAACAGGAAAAATGGCTTAGTAATAAAGAAAATTAAAAAAAAATAATATATATATATATATATATATATATATATATATATATATATATATATTATATATATATAATATATATATATATATATATGTCGTACCTAGTAGCCAGAACTCACTTTTTTGGCCTACTATGCAAGGCCCGATTTGCCTAATAAGCCAGTTTTCCTGAATTAATATATTTTTTCTAATTTTTTTTCTTATGAAATGATAAAGCTACCCATTTCATTATGTATGATGTCAATTTATTTTATTGGAGTTAAAATTAGCGTAGATATATGACCGAACCTAACCACCCAACCTAACCTAACCTATCTTTATAGGTTAGGTTTGGTTAGGTAGCCGAAAAAGTTAGGTTAGGTTAGGTTAGGTAGGTTAGGTAGTCGAAAAACAATTAATTCATGAAAACTTGGCTTATTAGGCAAATCGGGCCTTGCATAGTAGGCTGAGAAGTGAGTTCTGGCTACTAGGTACGACATATATATATATGTCGTACCTAGTAGCCAGAACGCACTTCTCGGCCTACTATGCAAGGCCCGATTTGCCTAATAAGCCAAGTTTTCCTGAATTATTATATTTTCTCAATTTTTTTTCTTATGAGATGATAAAGCTACCCATTTCATTATGTATGAGGTCAATATTTTTTTATTGGAGTTAAAATTAACGTAGATATATGACCAAACCTAACCAACCCTACCTAACCTAACCTAACCTATATTTTTAGGTTAGTTTAGGTTAGGTAGCCGAAAAAGTTAGGTTAGGTTTGGTTAGGTAGGTTAGGTAGTCGAAAAACAATTAATTCATGAAAACTTGGCTTATTAGGCAAATCGGGCCTTGCATAGTAGGCAGAGAAGTGCGTTCTGGCTATTAGGTACGACATATATATATATATATATATATATATATGTCGTACCTAGTAGCCAGAACTCACTTCTGAGCCTACTATGCGATGCCCGATTTGCCTAATAAGCCAAGTTTTACTAAATTTATACATTTTCTCTAATTTTTTTCTTATGAAATGATAAAGCTACCCATTTCATTATGTATGAGGTCAATTTTTTTTATTGGAGTTAAAATTAACGTAGATATATGACCGAACCTAACCAACCCTACCTAACCTAACCTAACCTATCTTATAGGTTAGGTTAGGTTAGGTAGCCGAAAACGTTAGGTTAGGTTAGGTTAGGTAGGTTAGGTTGTCGAAAAAATATTAATTCATGAAAACTAGGCTTATTAGGCAAATCGGGCCTTGCATAGTAGGCTGAGAAGTGAGTTCTGGCTACTAGGTACGACATATATATATATATATATATATATATATATATATATATATATATATATATATATATATATATGTTGTACCTAGTAGCCAGAACGTCGTTTTCGGCCTACTATGCAAGGCCAGATTTGCCTAATAAGCCAAGTTTTCCTGAATTAATATATTTTCTCATATTTTTTTTCTTAAGAAATGATAAAGCTACCCATTTCATTATGTATGAGGTCAATTTTTTTTATTGGAGTTAAAATTAACGTAGATATATGACCGAACCTAACCAACCCTACCTAACCTAACCTAACCTAACCTATCTTTACAGGTTAGGTTAGGTTAGGTAGCCGAAAAAGTTAGGTTAGGTTAGGTTAGGTAGGTTAGGTAGTCGAAAAACAATTAATTCATGAAAACTTGGCTTATTAAGCAAATCGGGCCTTGCATAGTAGGCTGAGAAGTGCGTTCTGGCTACTAGGTACGACATATATATATATATATATATATATATATATATATATATATATATATGTCGTACCTAGTAGCCAGAACGCACTTCTCAGCCTACTATGCAAGGCCCGATTTGCCTAATAGGCCAAGTTTTCCTGAATTAATATATTTTCTCAAATTTTTTTCTTATGAAATGGTAAAGCTAACCATTTCATTATGAATGAGGCCAATTTTTTTTTATTGGAGTTAAACTTAACGTAGATATATGACCGTACCTAACCAACCCTACCTAACCTAACCTAACCTATCTTTATACGTTAGGTTGGGTTAGGTAGCCGAAAATGTTAGGTTAGGTTAGGTTAGGTAGGTTAGGTAGTCGAAAAACAATTAATTCATGAAAACTTGGCTTATTAGGCAAATCGGGCCTTGCATAGTAGGCTGAGAAGTGCGTTCTGGCTACTAGGTACGACATATATATATATATATATATATATATATATATATGTACCTAGTAGTCAGAACGCACATCTCAGCCTACTATGCAAGGACCGATTTGCCTAATAAGCCAAGTTTTCATGAATTAATTGATTTTCGACTACCTAACCTACCTAACGTAACCTAACCTAACTTTTTCGGCTACCTAATCTAACCTAACCTATAAAGATAGGTTAGGTTAGGTTAGGTAAGGTTGGTTAGGTTTGGTCATATATCTACGTTAATTTTAACTCCAATAAAATTTTTTTTACCAAACGTGAAACTGCTGGGGGCTTTGGGTTGCTCGGTTGTTACAGGCCCGTTGTATGTGCGGTACAATGCTGGGGTTGATTGCTTTGGTGAGATAAACCGCAATGCAATACGGACTGTAAGGTCCGTATTTGTGGCTTGAGGAGTGAGTGGGCAGAGGGTGTTCATGTGCGTGCGCATGTGAGTGAGCGTGTGGACGGGGAACGGATCTCTCCGTTTCCGTTGGGAACGCTGTTTCGGAGACAGGTGGTGTGTTGCATTATGTTCGGCAGGAGTTGGCTGCGCTCTATGCGGAGGTATTAGAGGACGCTGCGCTTGCGTAGGAATTCTTGGGTAGGTGCGTTCCTGGGTTGTCCGTTGCAGATTGTGCTGGTCTGGTGGAGGAGGTTTCCTTTGGCGGAGCTTTTCGAGGTTGTCCATTCTTTTCATTCTGGGAAGGTGCCGGGTTCGGATGGTCTTCCTGTCGAGTTCTTTGTCACCTTTTGGGATGTGTTGGGGATGTTCTTCTGGAGGTGGTCCGGACTTGTCTTCGGGGGTGCGTTCTGCCTATGTTTCAGTGCGTTGGGATTATGCGGCTCCTCCCGAAGCTGGACGATTTGCGGTTCTTCTCGAACTGGAGGCCCATTACTTTGTTGAATGTTGACTATAAGGTCCTGTCCAAGGTCTTAGCTGGTCGGTGTCGCCGTGTTGTGGCGTCTGTTGTCTCTGTGGAACAGTCTTGTGGTATTCCGGGTCGGTCTTTTTTTGCAGTGCAATGCGTTGTTTCACGATGTGCTCCTGTACGTGTCGGGTTCTCGCTCGTTGGCGGCGATGCTTTGTCTGGATTAGTCGAAGGCTTCCGACCGTGAGTCGCTCGCTTTTGTTTTTCGCGTGTTGGAGCGGCTTGGGTTTCCGCCTTTGTTTGTTCGTTGGGTGCGCATGTTGTTCGCTCAATATTGTAGTCGGGTTTGTGTCAATGGGTTTTTGAGTGATTCTTTCCCTGTGCGTCGCTCGGTGCGGTAGGGTTGTCTGCTTTCTATGCTCCTCTATGTGCTCTTTCAGGAGCGTTTTTTTTGGGCGGTCAAGGCTTGTGCATTGATCCGTCCCCCCCCCCCCCCCCGGCTGCTGTCTGGTCTTCGGTTACCCATTTGCGGTTATGCGGATAATACCGTCCTGTTCGTGGCCTTTGAGGGTTCTGTTGGAGGCTGTCCAGGTCATGGTTGAGAGGTTTGAGTGTGCCCGGGCCCGAATTAATTGTGCCAAGTCTGGTCTTCTGGGTATTGGTGGGTGGTACTCTCGCCTTGTGTGGGTGAGGTCTTGGTTTCCAGTGATCTCCTCTCTGCGTGTTCTAGGGATCTCCTGGGTTGCTTCCTACGAGCGATCTTTGGAATATAATTGGGGTGTGGTTTCTTGTAGTGTTGGCGTTGCGGTTGGGTTGTTGGCTGCATGCCCGTTGACGATTTATCAACTGGCGTTGCTTGTTAATGGCAAGGTTTTGTCGTGTGTCTGGTTTGTAGCTCGGTGTCTGGTTCGTAACCCGGTTGGCTCTGGGGTTGGAACGTCAGGTTTATAGGTACGTGTGGTGCGGTCTTTACCACCCGGTTCGTCGCTCGACGTTGGTGTTAGCTGTGCGAGAGGGTGGGGTTGGTATTCCTGATGTGTTTACCAGGGACCGGGCGCTGTTCTGGGTCTCGTTGCATCAGGGGTTGGGGTGACGGGTGGGGGACTCAATGCTCTGTGTATTTTTTATTGTTTGGATAGGTTTAGTTTTTTGGTGGATTTCGGTGTTTGTCGGGAAGCGGCCTTCTGTACCCCTCCTGTTTACTCTAGGGTGGTTGACATTCTTCGGGCTGTCTGACATTGTCCGGCTTTTATGTTTCTTTTAGTTAAGGCGGTTTATGGGATTTTATTTCGTCGTGTTTGGCCGCGAGTGGAGACTTTATTCCCGTGTTGGGATTGGAGGGAGGTGTGGGCGGCGTTAGTGGCGCGGTTTTTGGTGCCGCAGCAGCGGGAGTTGTGTTTTCGTATGCTACATTTGTCGTTGGCGACGAATGAACGGTTGTGCATGTTGGGTTTGCGCGCCTCTGCCGCGTGTGAACACTGTGGGCTGACGTAACCCCACATAACATACCTTCCTAAGGCTCGGTATGTTTTTTTCTGGCATATTCCCTAAATCCACGCCTCTCTATATAGGCACGACCTGGTACACGATTACGAATTTCGTAAAAATTATAAGCAAATCCTAGTACATCCTATTATATCGACTACCAAGTGAACAGTGAGATCTCCCACACCAATGAAAATTTTGCTGCCCTTCTCTGGAATCACGTGACATCTGGTCATCTGTTGACTGAACCTTGCCTTAAATAAAGGAAATTTTGTTGAACGTAATTTAGAACTATCAAATACATCAATGAAAAATTTCATTAGACGAGAGCTCTTGGATGAATTTGACGAAGGCAGAATAGTGCAAACTGAACCTGCAGATTTCTATGGTCTCTTCTCTCATGTTATGGATTCAAATCATCCTATTAATTGGTCTTCTGCTAAAATAATCTTTCCTGCCTCTACTCTTCACAGACGCCTTATTTACGATCAGCTCTGATACACACCCTACCCAATATGAACCTTTGTCCTTGCTTTGTTTCTGCTGACTCTTCCCTTTCAGAGTACATACCGAAATGTTCTAAACTTTCTAACAAACGTGACCTACCCATCTAACCCATCCTTTTATTCTCAGCCCATATAAGCCTACCCATCATTTTTTCCTCTTCTTTTTCTTACGTTCCCATTTTTACTTCTATTAGTTATGTAATCTTTTTATTACACATATCCCTTCCGTACCTTTTGCCTTGATCTTACTTTCCTATAAGAATTCCCCCTCCTCACCTTTCTCTTGCCTAACTTAATGTCCTTGTCTTCCTCATCTCATCATAATCGACTTGATAATGGTCCAGGACGGTCCGAAACGTCGTCGTCTTTTCATATTCTAGTATGTGGTTTTGTCAACAACAGATTCATTGATCAATGAAATGAAACTTGATGAAATATGTTAAACAAAATTGCATGGGCAAGTTACAAAATCTAACAGTTTAAAGTTCTGACAGACAATGTCACAGCTCAAATACGAGTTGACTTTAAGTATCTCTGGCAGATCGACTTCTATAGGGATCCAGTAAAGTGTAAAGTGTGTGGAAGAAAGTCAGGTACACACTGGCGCATTACTTTTTAGAATTGTTAAAAATTAGTTTTTTATATATAAAGGTACCTCACGCAGCATGAAATGGCTAACCATCTTATTATGAACTAAAAATATCTAAAATCCTGCTGTGTATCCATACTTCACTTCTTCTGAAGAAATGACAGACCTAAAACTAATGAATAAGCTGTGTAGTGTGAAGACTGTGAAGACTAATATCAATAAGCAGCAGCTCTTCTGTGATCCTTATATATTTCCACAAATATATATTTTATGTATTAGCAAATGACTAACCATCAATGCACAATACTATTTTTAAATATACTGAAATTATAATGGAAATATTCTTGTAGCTAGTTGCCGGCATCATTATTTGGTGTGCAGGTTACTTAAAATTTTTAATATAAAATCCCCTACTATTGTCTGACTTATACAATTTGTCCCATCTGTAATACCTTTGCACTACCTCTCACATGATGAATATGGGGTACACAATAAACTGGCTGCATCCAACAGCAACAATCAAAATTACTGCTTGTGCGAGTTGGTAACTCTCACATTAATTCATGTTGCTGGTAGGGAATTCCCACACTACTGGTCACGTGTGTAGATCATTCTTTCATTTCTGCTGAGGTGCAAAGGTCACTTTTCTATTATTGCTGACTCAGGAAGGTCATTTTCACATCACTGCTGAAGCAGGAAGGTCATGCTCACATCTCTACTGATGAGAGTACATCACTCTTACATAAGTGGTGATGTTGGTAGGTCTCTCTCACATTACAGCTTACCCTGTTGGGGTCACTCTCACATTACTGCTGACTCAGGTAGATTAATCTCACTTTACTGATCATGTGGGTAGGTTATTTGGTGCTGGAAATCACTCATATTCTTTTAGAAGTTAGCAGGTCACTATCATATTACTTCTGGTGTTATTAGGTCACTGTCACATTATTTTGGGGGTTGGTAGGTCACTATCATATTACTTCTGGTGTTAGTAGGTCACTCTCATATTAGTTCTGGTGTTAGCAGGTCACTGTCATATTCCTTCTGGTGTTAGCAGGTCACTATCATTTTACCTCTGACACAGGTAGGTAGGACTCACAAAACGTTTTGATGTGGATAGGTAACACCCCACATTAAGGCTGACACCGGAAAGTCACTCTCACATTACTACTGAGGCAGGCAAGTCTCTCCTAATCATTTCTGAGGCGGGCAGGTTACTCTCACACCACTACTGAGGCGGGTAGGTCACTCTCACACCACTACTGAGGCGGGCAGGTCACTCTCACACCACTACTGAGGCGGGCAGGTCACTCTCACACCACTACTGAGGCGGGCAGGTCACTTTCACACCACTACTGAGGCGGGCAGGTCACTCTCACATCACTACTGAGGCAGGCAGGTCACTCTCACATCACTACTGAGGCAGGCAGGTCACTCTCACATCACTACTGAGGCGGGCAGGTCACTCCCACATCACTACTGAGGCGGGCAGGTCACTCTCACACCACTACTGAGGCGGGCAGATCACTCTCACACCACTACTAAGGCGGGCAGGTCACTCTTACATAACGTCTACCATGTTGACGTCAACAGCTGCGGCAGGTGTCGTGGTGCGTGACGGTGGTGGTGGTGAGCGACGACCTCGCCTTCCTCGCCGCCTTCGCCCAGTGGTCCCTCAACGGCCGCTTGGTGGGTCCAGCAACCAGGCTCCTCGCTGTCACCAACGCTTCCTTGGTCAATAATCCGGACCTCAGCAGGACCTACTCCAAGATGAATGCTGTGATGATCGCTGTAATAAATTCAAAGAAATCTCAATGGTTAGCATTAAATTTATTGATCTTCATTTAACAACATTTTTTATATAAAACACATGTTAAGCATTCTTTTGGAAAACTCTCATATAGCTCCAGGACTCAACATTAATAATATTATATATCTAAACTGAAGAGAGGAAAATTGACTGCATATTGCATACTTTCAACACAAATATAACTGGTGAACTTAATAACCTCACAGGAACTCTATCAATATATCATCTCACTTAAGACCTCTGTCTTTATAACATCTTCACTTCATGCGTGCTCTAACCTTACATCACTTCCATTATAAGGGATATCTTTCAGTGTTATGCCTCTGCTACACCATTTCTCTGTCATAATAGTTTCAGTACGATTATGTTAATGCAATACCTTCATTACAGACAGACCTGTATATTATAATATATAAGACTTAACCGTGCCTGTAGAGGTTGTCAACATATTATGTCACAGGTGTGGAGTGTACCTTCACCTTCCGTACAGTCCCCGGGGCGCCCAGGCGCTGAAGGTGGCCTCCTGGACACCCCACCAAGGCCTCGCTCTCACCTCCAGCCTGCCACTCTTCCCTGACAAGTTCTCAAAGTGAGTGTCCAGAAGTTGTGAGAAATAAAGCTTGTATTTAATGAATTTAGATGCATCTGCATCTATATTATGCACAACTCACAACTCGTTTCTGGTCAAAATGAAAATAAGACAAATTTAATATCGCCTGGAACATCTTGGATAAATTGCAGAATTTTTAATTATTCACAAAACAGGAGTACTATAATAATAATAATAAAAATAATATAACTATAATAAAAATAAAAATAATAGTAATAATAATAATAATAATAATAATAATTATAATAATAATAATACACAGAGAAATCACATTAACATGATATATCAAAGAACAAATCCACAGGAGCCTTGATGAGCCTATACACTGAGTGTTCGCGACGTGCTTTAGTCTTTTCCAAGTACTACGACATGGAAAAGAATTGCAACGTGGAGTGCTACTGCGCCCACGCAGGTCCCGAGGCTTCCACTGAAGCCTGAACGGGGTTTCATTATCAGAATCTAAGTAGATTCAAATGAGTCCCTGGTTGATTTTTTTTTTTACCATGTCGTGGTGATGTGGTGTAGGGCGCCAGCTTGGGAGTACTAAGTGAACGGATTTGAATCCTTCTTATGGCACCTACTGATTTTCTCACTGATACATCACATTAATGTGAATTCATTGTACATTATTTAGGCTTAAATAGGAAAAGGTTTGTTAAGTTATAAGAGACTAGCTGTACTCGGCCATGCATTACTGTGGCTCAGCAATGCATGCATGCCACAGCAATCCTCCCCTGTCCCCACGTCCTCCCCACCATTCCCCACTTCCCCTTCCCTTCGTTTTCCCAACCATTCCCCACTCCTTCATTCCCTCGTTCTCCCAACTATTCCCCCGCCAACATCCCCTCGTCCTCACCCCCATTCCCACTCACTCGTCCGATGCGTTCCCAAATGATCTGGTGTTCCCATAAAAAAAATGGGAACATCAAATGATCTGATGTTCCCATCATTGAAAAATAAGAAGAACAGTTAAAAAAACGAAATGAAAAAATGAAGAAATAAAAAAAATAAACTATACTCACGAAGCGAACGGTATGGTAAAGAACATAGCACAATTCCAATTCAATGTCGAACAAAATAATTAAATCAAAATGAAAATAAATCGAAATTTATGAAAATTTAATTTATCAATACAATCGGAAACATTGAAATGGAATTGTAACATTTTTAGTATAGCAGTGTTTATGTCCAACAGATGGTGCTGTTTAAAAAAAAAACAATGATTTTACCTGTCACAGGTGTGCCATCTATATAGTAGGGATATAAAAACCCGCGCATATTCGAATGGAACGTTGTGTCAAAATTTGAAAGCAATCGGTGAAGAACTTTTGGATATTAAAGCGTGTTGCTCTTATGTCCAACAGACGGTGGTGTTAAAAAAAATCAATAACATGTTTTTACCTGTCTCAGGTGTGGCATGTATATAGTCGGTATATAAAAACACGTGCGTATTCGAATGCAACCTTATGTCAGGATTTCAAAGCACATGGTAATGAGGTTTTGGAGATTTGTCTCGCATGAAAAACAGTTTTTAAAAAACAACATGTTTTTACCTGTCACAGACGTAACATCCATATGGAAGGTATGGGAATTATCAGGGAAAGCATCAAGCCATTATGACTATACAGCACTGAGAACAGATAAGGGTAAGGATATGGGAAGTAGGTATATAAAAACACACTCGTATGCGAATGGAACATTGTGTCAAAATTTCAAAGCAATCGGTGAAGAATAAATCGATTTTGAATAAATGAGAATTTACATTTTGATTTATATAGATTACACATGAGGCTGTGTTTTCTTTGGACGGTAAACTTTATTCACAAACAGACAGGGTAGCGATGGGTTCATTTTGAGCCCATCTCACACTAATGTTTTCCCTGTGAAATTTCGGGAAAATGTATATAGACTCTTGTGCTGGGGAGTTTAAACCATTTTTTCCATACTAATGTTTGTGATTCTTTTCTTATTTTTAATTAATACTCGCTCACATGTGGATATGTTCGTTTCTTTGTTGAATTCTAAACATTTAAATTTTTCTTGTACTTTTGCAAATGAGAAATTTCATTTTTTTTATTTCTTGACACATTAAAAATAAATATTTGTGGTGAATTTTCGACTTCCATTTATCGTAAACCAACCATAACATGTCTAGTTTTACACTATAAATGTTTCTCATATTCTAAACAAACTCAGTTCGATTAAAACTCTACTACATAGAAGACTCTATTTCTGCTCGTATTATTCACTATTTGATACTGAAGTTAAATTCTTGCATGAATTTGTTTAGCTAAATTCTTTCCCCAAGCAAAGAATTTTATATAATTTTTAGTCAATTTTAAAATATGAAATTTAAACCTATTGTCAAAATTAAAAACAGTCTCTTAAAATATTAATAATTCCTTAAAATATTCAAAATGTTAATTGTCCGTATTTGGATATTGTTGGCTATTATATTAAAAAGGAACATCATAATATTCCTAGATATTCTTATCCACAAATTAATTTTTAGTATGTATTTACAAAATAATTACACTAATGGGAACTAGTTAAAACGTAGAGATTACTTCCCTTTGACCACAAATCTGGTATTGTTTATTTATGTAAGTGTTCGATACTTAGGGCATAAATTCCTCACGAAACTTTAAACATTGAATAGGTGAGCATATGTGTATGCCTTTTTGCTCAGGTTTGTGCCGTAGATAAGATTGTATAATCTGGTATTGGGATCATTGTGAAAAAATTGGCAACCCCTTTCACTTACAGCAATATCCTTGTAATGATTTCTAATCTGTCACCTTCAGATCTCAACAGGTCTCGAATCCTATAGGAACAAATTTGAACCGATTATATATATCTCTGTACTTCTTTGCTTTCTCTTTTTCTCTGTGTGTAGCAGCAGCTTATGCTTAGCCAACATAGAAAGTAATGTATGTGCATATCAAGATGGATATACAAGTATAGTCATGCCAATAATCTACCACCTCCTCTCTTTGGGTGTAATGTGACTCCACCAAGTCGTCCAGCAACTGCAGTAAAATTATGGTACATTACATTATGAGGCTATCTCTCTGCTGTACACTGAACAGAGGCAAGGCTCCTCTTGATGATGTCACTGATTTCGCTCTGCCAACCTCCTGATTTCCAGCAGTGCATGCCCTTCAGCCTGTATTTGTCTGCATCTGCCTCGCTGCAATTACATCTATATATAGTGTAGGGTCTGGGACAGCAAGGCGGAGAGCAACTGCAATCCATTAGCTCTCCATGTGTCTGGTCCCCCAAATGGTTCTCTGTTCTCCTAATCTATCATTCCATGGTTGAAGTCTCCCATGATTAGCAGTCTGGATCCGTTCCTGCTATTGACAGAAGCAGCGTCTCTATTATATTAATGGTAGCCATGTTGGTTCTATCATATTCCTGTTTGGGTCTTCTGCCATTTCGTGGCGAGTTATAAATGACTTTTATGATGATAAAAATAGGTGGTAGTGCAGTCTCTCTAGACAGATGGAATGCCAGTCACATAAAACAAAAACAAAAGTAAAAAAAAGGGAAAAAAACCTGTAAGTTGCCTTCATGGTGAGGTAACTGTAGGATAAGACAGAGGGAAAAACATTTAAAAATACTTTACTTTGAAAAAAAACGTTAAACAAATTACAAAACACAAAATAATATCCAGGCTTGGCTCTAATACAAAGGGTGGAAAACAAACAAGATGAAGTCAAATTTACTTTACGTTAATGTGCAAATAAAATACGGTGCTAGAATACTATGAGTTAGACTGCATAAATCTGTTACCACACCGAAATATGTCAACAGGTCTACTCAGTAGAGCACTTAGGAGTAATCTGAATCGAGGTAGGCTAAGTAGCCCTATATATATGAAACGGCAGTCGTTCAGGTAGTGCTGGTAGTCGTGGATAACTAGGAACCGGCTCGGGTTAACTGCTTGTTTCTGCTTGTTTCGGCCGATGGCATGAGCTCCCGGCGTCCAGGTGAGGTGGGTTGATGGGCCGTGGTGTAGGGGGGAGACAGGTGGTACTGTCTAGACGTCTGGAAAGTAGTTGTTGTTGCTCTTACAGCTGCAGTTCTTGAATATATATATATATATATATATATATATATATATATATATATATATATATATATATATATATATATATACATATATATATATATATATATATATATATATATATATATTATATATATATATATATATATATATATATATATATATATATATATATATATATATATATATATAAATATATATATATATAAGTGATATGGTAAAATAGGTGATGATGGAGCAGGCCGAATCTCTTACTAGAGATATCACTGTGACACTATTAATATACGTTTTTGTCACCCAATTGCTATGGTACCTATTATGTAGTCACTGAAGCCCTTCACAACCCTGGATAACATCTTTTTAAAACTCTAGTCTTTTCTTATCAGAACAGCTACTCCACGTCCACCTCTTCCTTCCTTCTCTTTCTTTCCTTACTACATAGTATTCTTGCAGAAACACAATTGTTATGGTTTTGTTTGTGTGTGTGTGTGTGTGTGTGTGTGTGTGTGTGTGTGTGTGTGTGTGTGTGTGTGTGTGTGTGTGGTGTGTGTGTGTGTGTGTGTGTGTGTGTGTGTGTGTGTACTCACCTAGTTGTACTCACCTAGTTGTGTCTGCAGGATCGAGCATTGACTCTTGGATCCCGCCTTTCGAGCTTCGGTTGTTTACAGCAATGACTCCTGTCCCATTTCCCTATCATACCTGGTTTTAAAATTATGAATAGTATTTGCTTCCACAACCTGTTCCTGAAGTGCATTCCATTTTCCCACTACTCTCACGCTAAAAGAAGTGTGTGTGTGTGTGTGTGTGTGTGTATTCCCCTAGTTGTGTTTGCGAGGGTTGAGCTTTGCTCTTTCGGCCGGCCTCTCAACTGTCAATCAACTGTTTACTAACTACTTTTTTTCCCCCACACCACACACACACACACACACAAACACCAGGAAGCAGCCCGTGAAAGCTGACTAACTCCCAGGTACCTATTTACTGCTAGATAACAGGGACCTTCAGGGTGAAAGAAACTTTGGCGAATTGTTTCTGCTGGGTGCAGGAATAGATCCCGTGCCACAGAATTACTAGTCCTGCGCGCTATTCACCAGGCTACCAGGCCCCTACCCCTCCCCTTGTGTGTGTGTGTGTGTGGTGTGTGTGTGTGTGTGTGTGTGTGTGTGTGTGTGTGTGTGTGTGTGTGTGTGTGTGTGTGTGTGTGTGTGTGTGTGTGTGTGTGTGTGTGTGTGTGTGTGTGTGGTGTGTGTGTGTGTGTGTGTGTACTCACCTATTTGTGCTTGAGGGGGTTGAGCTCTTTGGTCCCCCCTCTCAACTGTCAATCAACTGGTGTACAGATTCCTGAGTCTACTGGGCTCTATCATATCTACATTTAAAACTATGTATGGAGTCTGCATCCACCTCATCACTGCCTAGTGCATTCCATCCGTTAACTATCTGACACTGAAAAAGTTCCTTCTAACGTCTCTGTGGCTCATTTGGGTATTCAGTTTCCACCTATGTCCGCTTGTTCGCGTCCCACCAGTGTTGAATAGTTTATCCTTGTTTACCCGGTCGATTGCTCTGAGGATTTTGTAGGTTGTGATCATGTCTCCCCTTACTCTTCTGTCTTCCAGTGTCGTAAGGTGCATTTCCCGCAGCCGTTCCTCGTAACTCATGCCTCTTAGTTCTGGGACTAGTCTAGTGGCGTACCTTTGGACTTTTTCCAGCTTCGTTTTGTGATTGACAAGATACGGCCTCCATGCTGGGGGCCGCATACTCCAGGATTGGTCTTACATATGTGGTGTACAAGATACTGAATGATTCCTTACACAGGTTCCTGAACGCTGTTCTCATGTTAGCCAGCCCCGCATATGCCGCAGACGTTATTCTTTTTATGTGGGCTTCAGGAGACAGGTTTGGTGTGATATCAACTCCTAGATCATTCTCTCTGTCCGTTTCATTAAGTACTTCATCTCCTATTCTGTAGGAGATACCATGCAAATGAAATAAGGGAAGCATGGCAAGGGAAGGGGGAGTGGTGGGGAATGGAGTGGTGAGTGTGAGAGGGGGGTGAGGGTCAGCCGGGGGGGGGGGGGGGGGGGGGGGAGTGACCAACATGACTCTTCACTGAGAAGGTCAATCATAATCCATGGATTACTTGAAGCCATCGAGGCGGGAAAGGATGGAGATTGAAGATTTTGAGTTACAGGGGATCTTGAGAGATATCAGAGCCAAGATGGCAGATAATGAGGTGGGAATCCACCGCCACATTGGGGCTTATAACTGTAAAAAGAAATGACCTGTCCTGGTACAGTTCACTAACGAAGAGGCTGTGGATTACATACTGCAACACAAGCACTTACTCAGAGGTAGCGAAAAACTATTATAACGTGTATATTTACAGATACATGACAAAAGATGAGCAGATAGCCCAAAGGGCGAGCCGACCTCCACGACACACCTCGTCCCATTTGAGCGTAGATACCCACCCCAGTGCTATCCCACCCCATGCCCATGCTAACGAGCCCGCACCTGCTTGCCAGATCACACCCTCCACAAATCGACCCTCCCTGCCTCTGCTTATCTCCCCCAAACACCTCCCCTGACCCCTCTGACCACATTGCATTCAAATCCTTCTGCTTCATCCCACATTCCAAGGACTCCCTTATCCCCTCAACCCCTAAAACCCGCACCACCCTCATCCTCTCAACCCCCAAAACCCGCCTAGCCCTCAACCCTCCTCATCCCCTCTCCTTCCATGTGACCCCTTACCCTTGCGAGGGGGGCACATGGGCCCCCGTGGGGAACTGGAGGGACCCCCAAACTCTTCCTACAATTTACTCTTCGCCCCTTCTTCCCCAATGCTCATATTTACCCCTGAGTTCCCCTTGACTAATTCAATCGACCTCCCACTCTTACTATCCATGTTTCGTCTGCCCCAATTCCCGGTACCCCCTCTATCCTTCTCCCCCCCCCCTCAACCTCTCAACCTCTATCTGACTCTCAACCTTACGCTACCTCTCAACCCCTCTATGCCTCTCAGCCCCTCCCTAATCTTCAGACGAATTATGACCTTCCTACTCCAGTCCTACCTTCCCAGGCCCTACCCCAGACCTTCCTACCTACCTTCCTAGATGTCCGCTCCCATTTGCCCCCAAAGCACCCCTCCAGACCCCATTCACTCCCCAGACACCCCCAGGATCCCCTCAGACACCTCCCAGACCCCCAGAGAAAACGCGAACTTTGGAACCAAAGTTTCCATGAAGAAGATTTAGTACACCAATGCTGATAGGGTTTCTAATAAAGCAGAAGAGATAACAGAAAGAGTGAGTTAGGCAGATCTTGGTAATCTACAATCCCCCTCCAAACAGTAGAAGACCCAGGCAGGAGTATGATGACAACAACAAGGCATGCATAGATGAACTGCAGAAGGCAGCAACTCTAGCCCACAGAATGAGAGCGAAGCTGCTGGTCATGGGGGACCTGAATCATGGAGAGATAAATTTGGAATCATGGAATCCCTCTTGGAGAGGACGAAACGTGGGGAGCAAAGTTAGTAGATGGTATCGACAGGAATTTCCTAACACAACATGTGAAGGAAGACACAAGGGAAAGAGGAGGGGATGCACACAGCCTATTAGACCTGAC